GTGTGAATAATCTGACATGCGGCGATTCATTCCGCGTGGACGCCGCAGAATGTACGCTAAAGCCTGATTCACATGATGAGATTTCGCTCGCAATTTTCAGTAGCGACGTCGCTCGGACTGCAAGAGCGTGAACCGTAGCTGAGATGGTCGACGTCGATACTAAAATCGCAAGCAGAATCGAACCAAGTGAATCAGGCATAACAAGTCGGTGATGGCCACTGGTAACAATGATCAACATCTCCTTGTGTCTACTGTTTACGTCGAGCCTGCTTACCAACCTTCAAACTTAAGTCTTTTAAGGCCTGCACTTACTTCTTATCGCAAGTACCGGGCCCACGTTTGGTCTACGGGCCGGTGTCCTCTAAAAGAGCAGACGACAAGCAGAAACGTTTGAAAGAGCAGACGACAGTTCGAACGATCAGGCGACCGTTTGAACTTGAAGACGCACTGAACGTAGTCCGCAGGTGGTCCGTACAACTTGACGGTTTTCCGGCGTTCATTTTGGAACAAAACAAATAAATCTGATGGCCAGAAGTATCCGTGAATTCAACCCAAAATGCTTCCCGCCCAAGCAATCGCGTGGTCCGACGGCGTCTGGTTTTCCCTTTTCACGGCACATATCCACGTTCTCGGACGAACCGAGCGCATGAAAATTGACCTTAAAACCTTTCTCGACCCTTTTGGTACAGCCCCAGTCGCAGCATTTTGACAAGAAGGCAAGTTTTTTGTCTGGTACTTTCAAAATAACGGAGGAATACACGTCTCAGATGGCCACTTCCGCCCACAGCCCCGGACCGGAAGTGCGTCCGACGCGCCACCACCGCGCCGTGACGTAACAGAGATGAGTTCGTGTATAGCTGCAAGATGTTTGTCTCGTCCAGTCCCTTGTGTTTTCTTTTTTCACATGTGATTATGTTGCTTAAGGGGTATTCACACGAGAGAGAAATCCCGGGAATTTCTCCCCGGCACGCGTGCATCACGAGATGAAAACGCGAGGCTTTTGCGCATCGCAAAGCCTGACGTTTTCGTCGAAGAATGCGCGTGCCGAGGAGAAATCCCCGGGATTTCTCCCTCATGTGATTACCCCTTTAAAGGCTGATTTTTTTTTTTTTCTACTTTGTCGACATCCTGCAATGTACTGTTAGTAAATGAACGTTTCAAAGGCACCTTAAAAGGCCCGCAAAAATCGGTTTCTCAACGTATAGCCCTGCAATTTACTACAGAGGTACAAGTAGGTGGTCAAAGTAATTAAAAAAATCAAGAAATAAACTTACCCCTTCAAAAGAAGAAAAAAAAGCAGAACCTGATCCGGGCAATCTACGCCTCCGCCTCGCAGGCGATGCACGCGTAGAGAGAAGTGCTGCTGACAGATAGCGTATTCCGCGTCGAGGGAACGCCAGCCGATTCCAGTAGATAGCAGACGATCTCGCAAAAGAAACCGAATAGGTTGGCGTTACCTCGACACTGCGTACGCCATCTGTCGACAACACTTCTCTCCATGCGTGCATCGTCTGCGAAGTGGCGGCGTAGATTGCCCTGATAAGGTTTTAGTTTGTTGGCTTTTTCCTTTTGAACGCGATAAGTTTATTCCTTGATTTGTTTACTTACACTCACCACCCGCTTGCACCTGCGTAGTAAATTGGACTATACGTCGAGAAACCGATTTTTGCGGGCCCTCTGAAGCGCCTTAGAAGCGTCAGTTTACATACTGTATTTTTCATATCAAGATAGGATTCAACAAAATGTATACTTAAATTTACAATCATTTTATTAAATATATTACTATTAAAACTTTCAAAACAAAACGCGCCTTATGACGCAAAAGGCTCGCAGTCTGTGCGAGCCAAACGTACTAACTGAGCTAAAAATTGCACAAATAATCGACGATAGTCAATTACTGTCACTCGACGAAGCGAAGCAGTAGTCGGGACTGCGGTTTCCTTAACCGTAAATCGACACCGATGATGTCTGGTTCAGCGTAGTCGTCGAGCCCGTTTCAGTTCCGTCTGATCGGGTTGGACCCTCTTCTGTCAGGTTCATTCTGCAAGGCAAAATGATGTCCTCTGGTCTCACTGACAATGATATGATACACGGAAAGAAAATTCACGAGGCCAAATTCAGCCTACTGTTTCAGTAAATGGAACTTGAAAGGCTTCCTTTTCGTTCCCCGGCTCAAAGAAAAGCTTTCTCGTCGTCAACCACTTTGTGGTAAGTTGTCAAGGCCAGATTAGCTTCCAGACTGCTGCAGACTCCGCGTGCACGAGGCTTCGTAGAGTCTAATTTCCTTGCGCTCGCGGAAGTAGCTTTGACGATACTGTAGGAACAACGCTAGCCTTGACAACAATAATTTGACGCTGAATACACAAGGCTTGCACGTGACGTCATTGCCCTGTTCCGGTGGTCATTCTCAACCCTTTCTACTTGTTCAGGCCAACAACAATTGTCGAAACGTACGCTGCCGAAGGTACGCGCGCAGCAGCGAGGCCCGCCACCACAACTGAGGCGAGGTCAGTGTAAGCCATGCCTAGATATGCTAGCACGACAAAACACTAAATATCTTCTTCCACTGGCAAAATGAAACCATGTTTTTTTTCTTTTTTTTTTTTTGCTTTTTTTTTTTTGCTTTTTTTACAACACTCGCAGTTTTCCCGGGTTAGCAAATGGTCGATTTTGTAGCTGTGACACTGGAGGAGCCAAAAGGATGTCGACCATTTGGTGCATGCTTGTGTGTTTGCCACTAAACTCTATTTCTACAGTCGGCACAAAAACAAACTACAGCAAGTGGTCGAGGATCGGAGCGATAAAATCACCGTACGTGGCGCTGCATTCTCGCGAATACAGCGAGAGCGAGGGTGCCCGGGCCGTTCGCACATTTCAGTAATAAGAGTGCCCGCTAGAAAGTTATTGTTTGCAAAAAAAAAAAAAAAAAAAAGAAAAACAACACGCAGATATTATTATGTGTTATTTTTGCAAATTCAACGTCTTAAACTGCCAATGGCGTTGAAGCAGTAAAAACTAAATTATATCGCTGCTCTTGAGCAAAAAAATAGACGCTTGGGAACAGCTATGCATGCTGGCGAGGGCCTGAGGGGAAGACAATTGGTGATTATAAAGCACGCCTTCGGAACAACTGATGTATTCCGACTTACCCCGCGTTAGGAATATGTCATCCGTTAGGCAATCTAGCTCACGCTGTATGAGAGATTGCAGCGCCACGTGTCGCAGTTTCGCCGGCCTGGCAGTCGCTTATTTCTTCCAATAGTGTTTAGTGCCGACTGCACTTTTGCTGTTGACGAAGGCTAGAGCCCCAGGAAGCCACATACACACTGGGAAGTCTGGACGACCTACCTTCCCGCAATGTACTTGGGACAGTTAATCGTCGCAATCTACGGTGCAAGCTCGGTGAAACGCTGAAAAAATGTTCAAGCCTAAAAACAAGAAATGAACAGATTATGTTGCGGCACTTTGCACAACACAGATTCACAGCGCAGACTGTCTTGTTTAAGCCTAAACATCATTTGCCGAGCTCCCTATAGCTCTGTAGATTGGGGCGACTAACTCTTGAGTCTCAAGCGCGTTCTGGAAAAGTATATATTTTCCACTAGGGCGCCGCCATCTTGAATATCGTCACTTCCAGTATGGGCAAAAATATTGTGCTGCCGTCGCCACGCCAATAGAATGTATTCAGGTATAATCGTAACCGTCACCTATTCTCGTTTTTCCTCTCCTTTATTGTTTCAATATTTGCAGGTTGAAATTTTATTATTTTTTCGTTGTTCATACCTGATATGCCTACCAGGTGGCTAGGGACGAGAGTCCGAAAAATCGCGGCGAGAACCAAGCTAGGGGTCGCCACTGAGCTCCACCTGGGTGTCACGTGATAACCGGAATGTGAGGGATGCCCGCTTTCTTTACGTCGCGCGCGCCTGTTGGGACCGAGGGGGTTCTCCGGGTAGCGTCACGCAGGCCCAGGCCAGGAAAGGAGCAGCGGGCAGACTCCCGTCCAGGAACATGACGAGACGGGAGGGTCTCTCCCAACGAAACTTTGTTTAATACATATGTACGAAGTATTTACAACGTCCGAGAGCACAGATGCGACATTCTGTTCGCCCCTTTTATAGGGTCGCTCTTCGGTACTCTCGCGGCTGGCAGCCAATGGTGGCCGAGCTGCCAACAAATCATGTTCAGGCCCCGCCTCCACTCATCCCCTGAGCACGCACACACCCACATGCACACACTGCAGCTGTGGCCGGACTTTACACTCCGTTGCCGAGGCACCCTTGCCCTCGAAAGCTGCGCCGAGGAAACGACAGCAAGGGGTCCAGTGTTTGCCCGGGTGACGACGTTGGCCGTGGTAGTGCTGACCCCTCCATCAGACGGCGTTGAGGCACGGGAAAGGGCTTGGCCGGATCATCCGCAGGTGGCGTCCGGGGATAATCCCACCCTCACGGAGGTCCCGTTTCGGACCGGCGTTAACGCAGCCAGAAAGAAGGGTCCGGCTTAGCTCCGCGCCTAGGTGGGGCGACGCCAACACGGTGGTCCCACGGCACCCCCTTGTCGCCTCTCGCCTCGTTTCCGGGCAAGCCGACCGGAGCCATGTGGCGATGCTACTCAATGAGTTCACCGTTGCCGGACGGATTAGATAGGGAGGGTCTGGTCCGGGGCTTTTCCGTTTTCACAACAGCTCCTCCGCCGCTGGGAAGAGTGTCTTGAAAGGGAGCAGTCCACACTGGTCCCTTGAAAGACGCGGTCTCACGGCAAGGCTGGCGACTGAGGTCCAGGCTGGAGTCAACTCTGGGAAGTGACAGTAACGAAACCCACAACACCGAACCAGACTCCGCGCAGCCGAGCGCCCAGCCCTCCATACCTTCAATCCGCCAGACCACTCTCAAATGTACAAAACCATAAAATTGTTCTAATAATATTCGCGTAAAACCCGTTCCCTCAAAATATTCACTTTTTCCGACCGGTTGCGTAAGCAAGACAAATTTTGCCCTCACCTTTGCATAAATCAGGTTACACACACCGCTCATCAGTGCCCACTTTGGCCATCAAAAGCTTCGGCTAAGGCCATCAGCATTGCCATTGAGTTTTCCTTTCTTGTACTTTACCTCAAAGTTATACTGCTGAAGGGCTAAGCTCCATCGAAGGAGGCGGCCATTCTTGTGTGACATGTTTTGGAGCCATTTTAAGGGACAGTGGTCCGTCTCAATGACAAACTTAGTACCCGCGAGGTAACATGCTAGCTTTTGAACGGCCCAGACGAGGCAGGCCCATTCCTTCTCAGAAGCACTGTAGGCCTCTTCACGGGTAGTGAGTTTTCGGCTAATGAAAAGCACAGGCCTTTCCTTCCCCTGATCGTCGGTCTGACTCAAGACTGCACCGATTCCGCGATCGCTGGCGTCGCATTGCACCACAAACGTTCTGGCATAGTCCGGTGAGCTTAACACCGGTCCTGTAGTGAGAGCTTCCTTCAGTAAGCTGAACGCGCGTTCTTTTGCGTCATCCCACGTCACTATTTGCGGCTCGGTTTTTCGCAGGGCGTCAGTAAGCGGGCTTACCACGTGAGAGTAGTCTTTAATATAATGCTGGTAATAGCCAGCAAGTCCCAAAAAAAGCGCGTATGTCTGTTTTAGTTTTGGGACGTCGGTGTTCCGCTACAGCAGCAACCTTAACCTCCGAAGGTCGACGACTGCCCTGCCCGATCACATGGCCCAGATAGCTGACTTCAGCTCTCCCAAGCTGGCACTTTTCTGGTCTAATGCTAAGCCCCGCCTGGCGAAGCCGGTTCAGGACGGCACGTAAATGTCCCATATGCGCCTCCCAAGAATCAGAAAAGATTGCCACGTCGTCTAGGTAGGGAAGTGCGAAATCACTAAGATCCCCGAGAACACGGTCCATGAGGCTGGAAAAACAAAACGGGGCGTTTTTCAAGCCGAAGCTCAACATGACCGGTCGAAAAGTACCCATCGGGGAAATAAACGCGGCGTACCCGCTGGCTCGCTTAGAGAGGGGGACCTGCCAGTAGCCTCGTACGAGGTCCAGAGTCGAAATAAATTTAGCCGCACTCACCACTTCTACCCTTTCCTCGATATTTGGGATTGGATATGTTTGGTCTCGCGTGATGCTATTCAACTTTCGATAATCGATGCAGGGCCTGGGGTCTTTCCCCGGGGCCTCAACGAGGATCAGTGGTGAGGTGAAGTCACTTTCTCCGGGCTCAATCACTCCGAGTTCTAGCATGCGCTTAATTTCGGTTTCTATGATATCCTTTTGCCTCGGAGACACTCGATAGGGCCTAGAACGAACCGGTCGATTCTCCGTCAGCTCGATGTCGTGAACCAGAAGTGTCGTCTTCCCCGGCCTGTCCGAGAAAGCTGTCCGAAATTCTTTGATCAACTCTGTTAGATCGGCGATCTTAGATGACCCCAGCTTCTCATGGTTTATCATTTTACGACAGAGTTCTTCCACCGTGAAACCTCCGTCACCCTCCAAGAGCGGGATTTCGAACGGCGTCTCTTCGGGTGCGTTCAAAGTCAAGTTTACGATGGCTTCCCGCTCTCTGTAGGGCTTCATGAGGTTGCTGTGGAAGACTCGCGTGTTTCGCCGTTTCCCCTCTAATTCAACCGCGTAGTTTGTCTCCGAGAGCTTTTGGATAACCCGCGCCGGACCCTCCCACTGAACGTCAAGCTTGTTCTTTCTGGAAGGTACGAGAATCATAACCCTGTCGTTCACCCTGAATGTACGCAACTTGGCGGACCGGTCATAGTAGGCTTTTGCCTTCTGTTGCGCCCTTTTCATGTTCTCTTCAACGATCCCCTTCGCGTCATTTAGTCGCGTCAACAATTCCAACACGTACTCGACGACAGTTGGATTCTCCCCGTGTCCCTCCCAGGACTCCCGAAGCATGCGTAACGGAGTTCTTAATTGTCCTCCCGTATACCAGCTCTGCTGGACTAAATCCTGTCGACTCATGAGGGGCCGTTCGGAGCGCAAACATTGCCGCGGGAAGACAGGCCTCCCAGTCCCTGCTATGCTCTACGCCGAGTGCCCGCAGGACACGTTTGAGTACCGAATGAAGTCTCTCCACACTGTTAGATTGCGGGTGATAGACCGAGCTGTGAACTAACGTAATCCCGCACTTTTCGAGGAACGTGGTGGTTAACGCGCTCGTGAAGACGCTGCCCTGGTCACTTTGGATTTCCGCCGTTAATCCCACTCTCGCAAAAATCGATAGAAGGGCGTCCACCACGTTTGTTGAACTGAGCTCCTTTAGCGGAACTGCTTCGGGAAACTTAGTGGCCGGGCACAAGGCCGTCAAAATGTACCGGTACCCCGACTGTGTTTGAGGCAGTGGTCCGACGATGTCAATCACGAGCCGGCGGAATGGCTCCGTGATGACAGGGACCAACGTCATTGGTGCCTTAAGCCTATCGGTGGATTTTCCGATACGCTGACAGGCATCACATGTCCTCACAAAGGTCTCAATGTCCTTCCAGCACCCCGGCCAGTAGTACTCCTGTGTCAGCAGCGCCTTGGTTTTCTTGATTCCAAGGTGTCCCGACCAAGAGCAGTCATGGGCGAGGTGAAGCAAGTCCGACCGATACCCTCGAGGAACGACCAGTTGGTCAAACGCCTTCCCCTTTCGGTCTCTGTACTGCCGGTACAGCACCCCCGCTCTCGTTTGAAAAGAAACGTTTTTTCGTGCTATGCCCTCCCTCGCACTGTCGTGAAACTCTCTAAGGGACGGATCCCCTTCCTGCTCCGCAATGAGCGTTTCTCTGTCTACCTTTGCCAGAGACCGAAAGCTGTTAGACACGGGCGAAAGGAGTATGCCGTCCCCTTCCTCGGGGTCGGCAGACCGCTCTCCCGTTTCGATCTCAGGTTCTCTGGCCTCACCCCGCGCGCTGTCAGGCTCACCGAAAGCATCCGGCTGTTCGTTAGGTTTAGCAGGTGAGCAAACCTCCCCCTCAAAGTTATACTCGAGTTGCCCCGCTAATGCTCTTGCCCTTGAGCGCGTCAGGGCCAACACGGTTTCGTTAGAGAAACTCAAACCCTGCTGGCTTAGCAACTGTTCTGACTTATTCGAAAACAAGTACGGGTACGGTAATGGGAGGTTACTATACTCCGTTTCACCTTCAGTCCGGGCGCAGCGGACGCTAGGAGTAATCCCAGCCAATCCAGCGTGGAGAGAATGTCATGTGACCTTGAGCTCCCTGTGTCCCTCTGCCCAACCGGCAGGTCACGTGATTTTCTCCCGGCGCTGGATCGGCTGGGATGGCCCGTGGCGTCCACTGCGCTCAGACTGAAGGCGGAACGGAGTATAGAGACCGCCGCCTCAGTCTCGAGGATTCCGAAAGGTCCTGAGATCATGATTTTAGCAATGGGCAAGCACACGCTTTGCTCCTCTACTGCTTGTCGAATCCAAGCGCAGTCTCCAGTGTAGTCCCCTGACCGCACGTACGAGGGATGTACGACATCCATTGTCGCGGCCGAATCCCGAAGTACTCTGCACTTCTGACCATTGACGACCATCTCCCGCGTGTAGGGCTCTAACAACTTCTCGTTGTCCTCATTTTCTCTGACGTAATGGAACGCAACTTTCTTAGTGCAGCTGGCCGCGAAATGTCCGGGCTGCCCGCAACTGTAACAAACTGCCTGCCTGCCTGCTTCCTTTTCTCGAAGGCTTTGGTGTTTTCACCATTTGTATTTCGCCCTGCGGCTACCCCGTCTCTTTCTTTGGGCTTCTCGAAGACACCTTCCCTAGCTGATCCTTTTGAGAAAGGGGAGAACCGAAACGGGAACGCTTTCTCGTCACAGAAAAACGGGACGAGGGGGGGCCTCGTCCCGTTTTTCTGTGACGAGAAAGCGTTCCCGTTTCGGTTCTCCCCTTTCGGCCTGTCTGTAGGGTCCCGCTTTTGACCCCTTCTCATCGCGTACTCTTCTGCGAGCTCTGGGGCCTTTAGGAGGTCTACCTCGGTCAGTCTGTCCTGAACCCAGAACTTGGCTGGCTCCGAAAGCTCCGTAAATAGCTGTTCAGTGGCAACACACTCGAGCACCTTGTCGTGGTCGCCATGTGCGCCGGCTCTTTTCAGCCACTCTACCAAATCTGCCTTTAAGTTATACGCAAACTCTGGCCATGACTGGGTAGGCTTCCTCGTGGCGTGACGGAAGCGTTGGCGAAAGGCCTCAGTGGACAGGCGGTATTTCTTAAGAAGAGCGGCCTTAACTTTTACATAGTCGTCCGCCTCCTCCTTGCTCAACCGAGCAATCACATCTGCTGCCTCGCAAGGGAGAAGTGTTAACAACTTCTGGGACCATGTTTCGCGCTGGAATTTCATCTTCTCGCATGTTCTCTCGAAATTTACCAGAAACAGCCCGATGTCTTCCCCCAGCTTATAAGGCTGAAGCAGATCCTTCATCTTCAACTTCTCCGCCGGTTCCGCGATCACTCCCGTCGCATTGGAAGACGCGCTTTCTAGTCTTTTCATTTCAAGCTCGGTGTTGCGCAGCGCTATCTCATCGGCCCGCTTTTTACTCTCGCGCTCTTGTCTCGCCTCTTCGTCGGCCTGCTTTTTGCGGTCGCGCTCCTCCTGTTCTCTTTTGCGGCTCTCTGCCTCTTTTTCTCTTATCCACTCTACAGCCTCTGTGATCTCGTCATCAATGTCGTCTGTGGCCTGAATGAGCTTTATGATGCGTGGTTTTCTTTTTGCTTGCCCCAAGTCAATTCCTAAATGGGTACATACATGTACCAGCTCTGGCACACGCAACGCGCTGAGATTTATGACCTACTCGATGTAACGGCACTTCCCTGACAAAACTGACGTCAAAACGGACATTTTTGTGTTCTGACGAAAACTTTTCCCCAACGCCTCACAACAAAACTAAGAGCTGTAGGGTCTGGCGAATCAAAGGAAGAAAGCCGGGCACTCACCCACACTGAGAGTCATGGTCCAGCGCAGTTGGATCCCGCCGCTGCCACCCAGTTGTTGGGACCGAGGGGGTTCTCCGGGTAGCGTCACGCAGGGCCAGGCCAGGAAAGGAGCAGCGGGCAGACTCCCGTCCAGGAACATGACGAGACGGGAGGGTCTCTCGCAACGAAACTTTGTTTAATACATATGTACAAAGTATTTACAACGTCCGAGAGCACAGATGCGACATTCTGTTTGCCCCTTTTATAGGGTCGCTCTTCGGTACTCTCGCGGCTGGCAGCCAATGGTGGCCGAGCTGCCAACAAATCATGTTCAGGCCCCGCCTCCACTCATCCCCTGAGCACGCACACACCCACATGCACACACTGCAGCTGTGGCCGGACTTTACACTCCGTTGCCGAGGCACCCTTGCCCTCGAAAGCTGCGCCGAGGAAGCGACAGCAAGGGGTCCAGTGTTTGCCCGGGTGACGACGTTGGCCGTGTTAGTGCTGACCCCTCCATCAGACGGCGTTGAGGCACGGGAAAGGGCTTGGCCGGATCATCCGCAGGTGGCGTCCGGGGATAATCTCACCCTCACGGAGGCCCCGCAGCTGGCGCGTCGTTACCCGGAATCCTGGCCCGGTAATCCTCCCGGTTCTCGAGTCGGCTGACCCCGTTTCGGACCAGCGTTAACGCAGCCAGAAAGAAGAGTCCGGCTTAGCTCCGCGCCTAGGTGGGGCGACGCCAACACGGTGGTCCCACGGCACCCCCTTGTCGCCTCTCGCCTCGTTTCCGGGCAAGCCGACCGGAGCCATGTGGCGATGCTACTCAATGTGTTCACCGTTGCCGGACGGATTAGATAGGGAGGGTCTGGTCCGGGGCTTTTCCGTTTTCACAACACGCTATAGCGGTACGGCGTGATTGGTTGCTTTCGGACACGACTCGGCGGTTCGTTATTGGTCTCTCAGCGGCGACACAACATACGCGACCAAAAATGTAAATGTTACCATTAATATCCTAGAGAAAAAAAAAACTGGGGAAGTAGCGACTGTACTCAAACCGCAGAAAGGAGTTGGCGAGCGCGATGGTGTCACGACGAATCGTGTTATATTTTGGATTATACTTGGCTTTTTCTTCGCGAGTGTCTGTTTCGTTCTCCGTACGGATTCCAGTGGCGGAACTCGGCGCCAACGACGATCCGATTATCCGCCTTTCCTTTTCTCCCGTACCCAAATGTCTTTCTCCGTGTTGTTCGTGTCACCTGTCACGTTGCAAAGTTGAAATAAATAGCACTGCTCTTTGTGATGTTCGAAAAGAAAAAACGCTCCTGTGTCTGTTCAACAAATCGAGTCTCGAGGATCCCAGATCCGAACAAGTCTTGTCTTTCTTACTGTGCACTAGCTGCGGCGTAATGTTGTGATCGAGAAAAAAAAAAAAAAAAACGTATACTCGATGATTTTTTTTTTTTTATTTCGCATACCGGTAGACGCCATTTGGGATTTTTTTTTTTTGTGCAATAAAAGGTGCGTTGTTGAAGGCCTATTATCAGTACTATTTAAATATTCGGAACGGTTTATGGCCATTAATGTAAAATTTCATATAGCATCCAAAACATTGGCTTTGATCCTAGGGTTTGCTGCGTTTTATTGACAGTAATAATAACTGACCCACAAAAGAACTTTCTTCATTCGCAGGTCATGCATAAAGAAATCTAACATCTCCTTTTTTTCATCATATCATTACGGTCGTAACACAACATCTACAGGGTGCCCCCGAAGAAATTTACAGGGGTTTTCTCCCCGAAAAAAAAAAAAACAACAAAAAAACTAGGCATCGCCGAAAACTCAATCTCCGCCCAAAGGTAGCACTGGAGGTCCGAACCAGATACAAAAGTTTTAGCACGAACCGATATTTTATTCAAAACTTATAAGTATTTTTTTTTAATTTCTTTTGTAAAACTGCGGACGACAGAGCTCTAGAAAACATGGAGTTGTATGGCTACAGAAACCAAAAACAGGTGAGAATGGGCCCCATTTCCCCATCGACATTTTCAGAAAATCACTTATAAATTTTGAACAAAAAATCGGTTCGTGCTGAAACTTTGCCACCTGGTTCGGACATCTAGCGCTTCCTTTTGGCGCAAAATGAGCATTCGATGATGCGTAGTTTATTTTCGCGGTAAGAAAAACTCTGTACATTTTTAAGGGCACATCCCGTACATCTGCGCAATGTCTCAAATGGCTGTCACTGATGCGTTAGCTCTTGATAAAACGATTTGTTAGCTTAAATGGACAATCTTTACAAAATGATTTCTTGATAAAAATAATTTGACATAACGATTTCCCCTAGAAGCTTGCCTGTGTTTCTTTTTTTCGAATTTTATTATCTATATTGGTTTGTTTTCATTTTTTTATTCGAGTTGGGCTCTTAAATTGTGTGTCTCTTCAGAATGCAACATTTCCTTCTGCATAACTCAGTAAAGACTCAGTCATCCATGCTATATGCTGGGAGCATTCACTTCTTCACTGTAATTACTAAAATAATAAACCTGGTGCTGCTGGAGGTTTTATTAAGCCTGGTAACGTCCAGGATGTGTATACAATCAAGTGGGCACAGGATTGCTCCTGATATTTTAAAGATGCAACAATCGGGATAGAGAATTAGAAAGTTTATGTCGAGGGAGGAAACCAGGACAATAATGGTGCCTTCGATTGTCATCCAAGGAAGCGCGACAAAGAATTCTTTTGAAACACAAATAAAGTTTTAAAAAAAAGATGAAAATGTAAAACATTGGTGAGTTAAAAATGACCATCTTCACCGTGATCTGATCAGTACCAAAAAAATGAGAAAACTCAAGTTAGCAGCATTGACGCCTCGGAAAAAGACCTGCCAGACGCAGAACTCGTAATCGTCCGTGACGAATGGAAAAGCATGTTATAGAAAAACGAAAGACAAAATTAAAATTAAGGCTTCAATCCACGCTGTGAAGGTGGTTGGACAGCGTAGCTGCGTTATCACGTGCAGCGATTGCCCACTGCACTATAGACCCTTTTTATGGAAAACACCACCAGATGGTGCTCCAGTTTTTGACGTGCCAGAGGACTTCCGGTTTATACAAAAAATGAACCCACCTTGCCACCGCTGCTTGAAATGTATATGAAAGGTTTAACCAAGAATTCTCCAGGTGAACGCCAAAAGAACGAAGAAGTGTGAGATCAGTAAAAATGTTTCGAGTATTCTTGTAAACCAACTTCCCTCTTCCAAGATGTAGTATTGTACAGCCGAAGGCCCTCGTTCAATCTCCAACTCTGTTGTCCGTGTTGCATTTATGCTTTCTATAGTCAGTTACAGGTTAAGAAGGTAGCGGCAAATGCCCCTCAAAGGGAACCATATATCCCTCCGCCACCTCCGCATCCAATAGCGTCCCACCGTTTCCTTGACGTCGCGGCCAACGCGCGAGGAGGCTCTTGCCTTTCTGTACATATTTGCTTTATTTTTCTACTTTGACTTAGCATTGTGGAAGCCACGAGAGGGAGATTAGAGTTTTCCCCCACCGACGGAAACAAATACGACTTTCGGGGATTAGCTTCCCCCCCGATGGATACAAAGGCTGCTTTCAGGGGCTCGGTTCCCTCTCCGATGAATACAAAGGTCGCTTTCTTAAAAAGTGGGATCGGAGACAAGTGGGAATCCATTGAAGCGGAACAAGGAGCGTTTCCAGTGAACTCTTCTTTCGACTGCGGAGAGATTTGAAACGGGCGCATCACACTTGTGGGAGGAGCTTCTCCTACCTTCTTGACTTGTAACCGACTATAGACCTTTTCCACAAGGGCGCCGCCATCTTGAATTGACGTCACTTCCAGTATGGGCGAAAACGTAACTTTGCCGTTGCCACGCCAATAGAAGACATTTAGGATATAAGCCTAACCGTCACACATTCTCGTTTTGGCTCGCCTCTATTTTTTTACTAGTTACAGGTTGAAACGTTTCTTTTTTTTTCGTCGCCCATACTGGAAGTGACGACAATTCAAGATGGCGGCGCCCTTGTGGAAAAGGTCTATAGGCTCCTTGCACATAACGTCATTTCCGTTGCCCTCCAGAGAAGAGGGGAAGAAGGAGCTCCCCTCTTATCAGGACCCTCCTTTCTGCCTTCCGGATTTGTACAGGCGTCGCTATTCTCCCCCCAGAAGATTATAGAAGATAAACCTGTCACTCCAAATTTTTACAAAAGCAGCTTCCCTCTCCTCCTTTTACTTGGTGTTCAAAAGTGTGCGACGTGACGTCAGTGCAAGGAGCCTATAGGCTCCTTGCATTGACGTCACGTCAATGCACGTCACGTCACGTCAGTGGCCACCGGGAACACTCCCGGTGGCCACTTTCCCAGGATCCAGTGACTTTGGTCGGTGTCGGTTGTTTCTGTTTGTCTCTCCAGTGTGACTCTGCCATTAAAGCGCAGAAAAGAGTATTTTCGAATCGCAGCCTCCGCCAATAGACCTTTTTCAAAAGTGCGCGTTATCTATGTAGCTGTTGCGCCCATTTCCCGAATCTGCCAATGTTTTGAAAAAAAAAAAAAAAACTTAAATTGAACGTTTAGTGTTTATACAGTGCAAGGTCGGTCTGCCTGTAGAGGCTACACTGGTTTACACTGTAGATGAGCAATTTTGCCAGTGCAGTACGACTGCTAACCAGGGGTCTTTAACGTGCTCACGCAGTAGCGATACACGACCGCACGCCGGTGCGATGCTCATTTAGATCGAGACGGGCAGAGGTGGGGATCGAACACAATGGTTTGGGCAAGTTACTCTGAACATGTATTGAAATTTGGCACGAGGACTTCGTCAGCGTTCGGGGTGAGCTCGATTCTGCGCGTATCGCCAACGAGTGCTGCGTCGATCAACGTTCGGCGAGCACTCGGAACCAACCACACGGTTCGTGTCCGACAAATGGCGACCGCCAACGTTGCTCGACGAGGTTTTGAAAAGTGTCTGCTATTCCCCCTCTGAACAAAGCCAAAATGAAGGCGCCCACATGAAAATCCGCGAATGACTCTAGGCGTAGCAGCCACCAGAATGCGCCGCTATTGTGACGTCGGTGTGAGTCATGTGTTACTTGCACCAGCAAGGCCCCTGCTCTAACACTGAGTCACTTACCCTGGAAAAATGGCGGCAGTAATATTATCACCCTCGATGTCAAAAGTGGTCATCCCCTGGTAGTAGCCGAACCACACCAAAGCGGCGAAATTGGCGGTCACGATGACAACGATGAACAGCAGGCGCAACGCCGACCCCCACTCGTCGCGGGCGGGCTGAGGGAGATCTCGTGTTCGCAGCATCTTCAGCTCTATGCTGTCCGAAGATGAAGAGGACTCCTCCCCACCCAGTTTTGGCCCTGTAGTTCTGAGGTGTGTCGTCTCGCCTACGGGTGTCTTGGGTGCCGTAGCAAAACCCGTGGCTAAGCTCCAGTCAGCTCCCGACTTGTTTGTTGACTGAACACTTGCTTTGTTCTTGGAATGGGACCACGTCTTGGCGCGTTTCTTTCGGTGCTTTGACTTTCTTTCAGATGCTGGGGTGCCTTGGTGTTTAGGTGTATGCCATCTGGAGGCCTTGCTAGATTTCGCGGCAGCCATCTTGGTTTTGGGTAAGGCCACTACTGAGTCTGGTGGACCTTGCGGAAGAAACGGAACATCAAAAGGGACGCCAGGCTTATTTTGCTGGCTGGCTGAAGGTGGGTAAACAAGCTGCGTCCTGGTGAGGGCTCCCGAACTACCTTGTGGCGTGAACCCTTCAAAGGGGAAGCGTGTGTCAAGGCTACGCGTCATGGCTGGGCGCAAAGCCGACCCTGCCGTTCCTCGCTCAAGAGGATGCAGGTTAGCACGGTCCCGGTCCATCCTTGCTGACTGGGCACGAGTCGGTTCCCACGGGTGCCAAAAGTTCCGGTTGTAAAGGTACATGTCGCCCGGCGGCTCTCGACAGTCTTGATACGTAAAAGGATACGGGGCGTAGGTGGCTGCGCCTTGCATTCCAGGCCTGCTGGTCGTTGGTCGCTGACTCCAGGTTCGAGCGTCCCAGAGACGCCCTGCGGGCACCCCTTGTAAAGATGCGGGAGGAAGCACGTACGGCAGCGGCATGGGGTAGTTGGAAGACACTGTGTTGGGACGCCACTGACTGCCGCCAACCGGACTCCACATTCCCGCCCATGTGTCGTTCATGCTCTGCGAGATGATCCGATACCAGATGCCAAGTTAATTTAATCACGATATTCTTTAAAAAAATGTAAACTACCACACGCTGTGTGCTACGATTTACATGCGGCAGCTGTTGCCTTGCTGAAAGATGTCTTTTCCGAGATTTGCTTTTCGTCGATGTGTTTTAGAATATTTGATTTAAGAGCTTTGCTTTTAGTAGAATAGCTCTAGATGTGATTTGGGACATGTGTAAGAGAGAGAGGGAGAAATAAATAGACCAATAACGCGTCTTGGCATAGATGACGTGGTTGCGCGACAGGGAAGACGGCGATAAGGAGTGTGCTATCGTAGCGGTTCCATATCACTCTCCCCGCGATCATGTGGAATTTTGCGTACAAACGCCGGCGGATTTGGCCGGAAAGGGGCTCTAACCGCTTTAAAACAACAGGACCACATCCAACACGAGCACATCGCGCACACTGGAGTTCGCTCTTCCGCGTGCCCGCGGAGCCAAAGTTCTCGTCGCCCACAACAGCGGAAGCGAAACCCGCCACTGCGCTGCCCTCAAAAGCCGGCAGCGGTCGCCGCCGACTTTGGCGGGACGCTCACGGACGACCGTTCTGTCTACAAGTGCACAATTCTCCTCCTGTTTGTTTGTTTTTGTTGTTGTTGTTCTTTTAGGGGAGGGGGGAGGGGAGGATTGTAATTGCGCGGGAAAAAAAGACGAATGCCTGTTTCGTGTTGTGAGTGGCAATGATTAATTCCCGCAGTGTTCAGCGAAAGTGCGAAACATTGTTTGAGGGGTGGTGCGACTATTTTTGCAACCATTTCTTACATCATAATAATATTAATAATAATAATAATAATAATCAACAATCATACAATCAATTTTATTGCGTATCCATGCAGGAACAACCATTCGGTGTTGGTGTTGGCACACCGAACATTCGAACGCTTAAAAACACGGAGCACACAACATTAAAAGATAAAACATAAAAAGTATAACTTGAACAACACACACAAAGATCAGAATAACCGACGCATGAAATTAGAAAGTAAATATTTATGTTGGAACTTCACACGTTGGTGCACCATGAAGATGAATGTCTAGAGTCTGGAGAGTACATCATGTGAAGAGAAGAAAAAGAAGAAGTGTAAACTGACAAAATTTCTTGTAAATGTTAGTGGCCATGTAGCCCTCATACCATTTGTAATGAGATAAGAGATTTGGGGAGTTGATTAAGCCGGGGAGGGTTTTAAACAAAAATACCAGATCCGCTTTCTTTCTATGACGATGCAGGTCAGGTAATCTTGGTAAAGTTTTAATCAGGTAATCTAATACGTTCCAAAACAGATTTATAATTTAAAGTTTGCTCATTCAAAGCCGAATAGGAATACTTAAAAATTCAGATGAATTTGTGCTGCACCCGCTCAATTCTCAGTGAATTGGTTTACACATTTCGTTCCACACTACCGACGCATAGTCTAGCTGCGAGCGGCCCAGTGAACACAAACGGGTTAAAGATGCGTAGGGATTGTCAGGCGACACAGAGGTCCAAGCACTCGTATAGATGCGCAAACCATCTCGCCCACATGAACATTAATAGGTTTGAACCAAATACAACATCGAGGTCTCTTATTTCCCCCATAGGCGTAGACTACGTGGAGGCATCGGGACTCGTGCCTCCCCCTGGTGAGATCCGGGGGGGGGGGGGGGGGGGGGGGGGGGGGTCATAGCGCTTTCTCGGGGTGGTATGTAAACAAAATAACGCACACAGCGGCGAACGTAAAATGTATCCCCTAAGAAAAACTACTGATAATTGCCGGTGTAAAAAAAAAAAAAAAAAAAACATGCGCGGAAAAGCTTCCCCGGGGAAAATGGAAAGTCTACGACGCTGAGTCTCTTTCAAATCGATAAGGAAAACCGACATTTCTAGCTTTCCAAAAAAATGTTAATACTTTTGTTTTTGAATGGTTCAGACGGGGCCTGTTTTCCCTACACCATTTGCTGAATGTGCTCACGTCTGCCTGTAGTCTTAAGCAGTCGTCGAAAGTTCGAATTTCACGGTCGATTTCATTGTCATCGGCGTACTGGAGTAACAAGGAGTGTGAGATAGCGAGAGGGATATCATTATCAAGCATATAGAAAAGACAAGAGGGCCTAAATCAGATCCTTGAGGCACCCCGGAGTGTATTTTGTAGGTTGTGGATGCCATATTAACTTGAAACAATCAATATTAATAAGAATAAATAATAATAATAATAATAATATAATAATTTTGGCTCAGGAGAGCCGCGGAACAGCTGAAAGAGCCCATACAATAGTCAATATATGTGATGATAAGATATAGTGATAAGAAATTCGATAAGAAAACCCGCAGTGCCGCATCTACTGATAGTGAATATATGTGATGATATAATATACAAGATGAAAGTGATGTTCATTATGACGTGATATCTACAAGGGGAGGACGACGCGGTCTTCTCAACGCAGGGGCGGATCCAAGGGGGGGGGGGGGGCGGGGCAATTTGACCTTCCCCCTTCTTGGAGGGCGATTTGACATGCGTGGACCCCTCGAAATAAAACCGACTACCGGCCTGCCACGTTGTAGAAGGCTCGGTACTCAAGGACGAGGGTTCAAAATAGGGTAGCTCGCACCCTAACAGGTACACTTGTACTCTGAACTTGGAGGACCACTCCGTCGCTTCAACCGTCAGTACCAACAGTCGGTGGCGAACTGTAGTGCAGTGAATGACACTGTATTCTTCTTTGTACAGTTCCTGATACGCTGCGATCCACCAAGCAACTGCGATTCAGCGGGTAGCCAAGATCGTCCATCTGTAATCTACGTTCGACGGAACTGCACGGCTGGCCCTATCGATAGTAATCCCTAGTCGGGGCTTCAGCTTCAACTACGCACCGCAAGGTTCCGTGGTGATCGGCGCTCTCCTGGCTCCCTGACAGAAGATAAAGGACGTTGCAGCACGACCATCTTCGCAGTCGGTGGCGAACTGTAGTGCAGTGAATGACACTGTATTCTTCTTTGTACAGGTGAGCGTTAATTTTGCTCTACGTTTCCGTATATTCCTGTACATCTGCCACCGGCTGCAACTGTTGGCATTTCTTTCTTTTTTTGCGAATGCACGGCTTATGATGTCCGAAAAGGAGTGCTTAGCGTGCTTGCAGTCAATGCCCGACGATGGTCGTTTTCTGACGTGTTCAGAATGTTTGCTCCCTTACCATATAGGTAACACTTGTTCGGGTGTGGCGGAGGCTACGTTTTCGGGTATGGGATCAAAAAAGCGTAGAAAGTGGCGCTGTCGAACATGTAGGGCTGGGGGGGGAGTGGCCGCGTCAATGTCGAGTGCGGACTACCAAGAGCCGGAGGATGCAAGTTTTTCGGCAGATTTTTCTACTGTGAATGAAAAACTGGACCAGCTACTCTCTCTTAGAGACAAAGTGGACAGTCTGCTTCCACTTCCAGCAAAGGTAGATGATCTGCTGACCTTGAAGACTACATTCGCAGAGTTAAAAGTAACTGTGGAGGAGTTGAAAAGCTCTGTTGAATTTACCTCTCGCCAATATGACGAGTTACTTGCCGAGTTGACTACAAATAAGAGGGAAACAAAAGACCTCAGGACGGAGGTGACCGAGCTGAAAAACACAATATCTGAGCATGCTGCACATATCGGCCGGCTGCAGTTGGACCTGAATGAGGCTGAGCAGTACAACCGGTTACCTAATCTAGAGGTCCATGGAATTCCGGAGAGTGTTGGTGAAGATCTCCAACAATACGTCTGCGATCTTGCGGCAAAGCTGGAAATCGCATCTTTCCAGACCTTGCATGTTCTTGCGGTACACAGACTTCCCGGTAAAAAGGACAAGATTGCCCCGGTTTTAGTTAGGTTTTCTTCTGCGGCGGTGCGAGAGACATGGATGAGGGCACGTGGCAGGCTGCGCGCGCTCGCGCAAAGTAAGGACTTACCTGAGCTTTACTTCAACGAGAACCTAACCCAGATAAACCGAAACTTGTTTTGGAAGGCCCGTACAAGGGGAAAGGAAAAGAACTTCAAGTTCGTCTGGGTCCGAAATGGGAAGATATTTGCAAAGCGGCAAGAACAAGCCCCCTCTGTTAGAATAGGTTGCGAATTCGATCTTGGTCTGATAAACTGAGACGTCGTCGGATCCCGACGGAATTAAGGCATGGATTGTGATTTTCGCACTTGTGCTTCCTTTACGGAAGTTAACAGTTTTTTTACAGATTCTAGAAGTAATGGGTTCCGTATTACCCATGTGAACATTCGTAGTATACGCAAACACTGGGATCATTTTCTTGCTTTAATATCCCCTTTTTGTACTTTTTTTTATGTTTTTGTACTGACTGAGATTAATGTTGGTTCGGATTGTTTGTCTAAATACACGATACCAGGCTATCGGCTGTTCTCTTACACCCGTCCAATGGGAAGAGGAGGGGGTGTGGCTGTGTTTGTCAAAGATATCTGGTCTGTGACAGAGCTTTTTTTTCCTTTCAACCAAGCGGAAGTGGTTGTGTTGCGCGTAAGCGCCCCTTCGTTATCGCATGTTCTCTTTTCAATTTATCGTCCCCCATGTTGCAACGGGCGGCTGTTTTTGGTTGAGCTTGACTCAGCTTTGTCTTCCCTGTCATGTGATGATCTAATATGTATAAATGGCGATATAAACATTAATATTCTTCGGCCTACAATGACTATGGTTGCAGACTATCTGGACGTCTTGTCTAAATGGGGAATCAAAACCACAATCAACAAAGCCACGCGTGAAGAATTCTTATCTGGACAGCTGGTGATATCCAGTATCGACCATATAAATGTTCGAGCACAGAACTTTATCGTACAATCGGCGATCATAGAAACTAAACTTGCCGATCATTATTTTGTTTGTTGCTCGTTAACACAACCGCAAACGTCGACTACTATCATCTCGGAGAAAGAATTTTCAATTGTTGAGCCTAGGCTCTTTGATAAACTTATAGCGGAGCATGACTGGAATTCTTTTTTACTAGCTGTGTCTCCAGGTGATATTTACGAGCAGTTTGTAGCTCAGGTGAATCTTTTTAAACGGGCGGCTACTCGTATGGTAAAAATTAAGCAGCGGAACCAAGACCAGAAATGGATGTCGTCCGAGATTCTCGTAGCAATAAAAGAAAAAGACTTGCTCTGGGCCCAGTCAAAGCGATCTCCCGGTTGTGTTTCGCTGCGGTTGAACTTCAAGCAATCTAGGAACAAGGTGAATGCTATGATTCGTCTAGCTAAACGAAAGTACTTTAGAAATAAATTTAGAGACGCTCGTTTTGACATCAAGAAAACTTGGTCGCTTGTTAATAGTCTTAGTGGTGCAAAGACATCTGTTACTAATAAAGATAGTTCTGCTCTCTCAAACTTTACTACTGATAGGCAGACTGCAGTCGAAGATTTCAACAAGTTTTTTTCTGAAGTATCAGGGGTCGAGAGGCAGCATCCAGACTATTGTACATACAGGACAGTGTATTGGGCTCGGCTTACCTACCTTTTCTTACTGAAAACGATCTTAAATCGCTGCTTTTTAGTCTGAAACCCAACAAATCCCCTGGGATCGACGGCATCTCAGTTAATGATTTGCGCAGAAATTACGAAATAATTAAAACGGTTTTGCTCTCTCTCTTGAATAATGTGATCTCTAATGGCATCATCCCGTTAAAGATGAAAACGGCGCTGGTCATTCCGTTGTTCAAGGGTGGAGCGCGAAATAATGTAGAAAATTACCGTCCAATTTCGATCTTACCTTGTCTTGCTAAGATATTAGAAAAACATCTGTGGGGAGTAATGACAAGCTTTTTAGATAAACACAATATTCTCTCACCCTATCAGTACGGATTTTTACAAGGTCGAGGTACCCAAATGCTCCTGGAAGATTTTTCTGATGAGGCTAATTCATCTTTTGAGCACAATCAAGTGGCCTGTGCGCTTTTTTTTGGACGTTAGCAAGGCATTTGATGGGGTTTGCCACCGTATTTTACTGACAAAGCTTTCAATGTTAGGTTTCCGGGGTTCTTTCCTACGCCTGTTGGAAAACTTTCTGCGAGATAGGCGTCAGTGTGTATCTGTTGGACAGTTTCAAAGCGACTTTTCTCTTATCAAAGCTGGTGTCCCACAGGGTTCAATCTTAAGTCCGCTTTTATTTAATATTTACGTTAATGACCTGTATAAAGTTGTGCCAATTTCTTTATTTCAGTATGCCGATGATACTGTCCTGTTAGCCAAAGCGTCCACCTCTTTAGAAGTTATCTCTATTTTACAGTCTGCAGCTATTAAAGCTATGGACTGGTTTGCAGCTAATTTAATTTTAATTAATGCTTCTAAAACTCAACTCATTTGTTTCCACAACCCTCTAAAGAAAGTTTCTCTAACTTATCCTTTATTGTTGCATACGACAGATTGTTTGCATTGTGATTGTATACCTGTAAAATATTCATCTTCTGTGAAATACCTTGGCGTGTTTTTTGACAGCGACCTAGCGTGGAATTCTCATCTTTTGCATATTTGTAAGAAACTTCGTGCAGTATGTTGTATATTGTATAATATCCGATATTTTATGCCCCTTTCGGCACGGAAAGTTGTTGTTCATGCCCTTGTATATAGCGTGCTTCGGTATGGTGTGACTGTTTACGGTCATTGTGCTCTTCGCTGGCAAGATAGAATTAACTGCCTTTTACGTTCTCTGTTAAAAAATATTTCATATGACCTGTGTCTAGAGAATGATGTCGATGTATTTAAAATATTGGGTTTTCCTAACTTCAGCTCGCTTCTGATAGAAACTATTGTTCATAGGCACTATTGGGCTACCGAATTTAAAACCCCGTACATTCCGTCGCGTTATCTTAGACCCAAATACCCTTATTGTATACCTCGATGCTCAACAAAATTTGGAAAACGAATTCGTAAGTATTACGTGCCAGCAATTTTCAACAAACTTCCTTCTGAAATTCATAATATAAAAACAAAATACAAGCTTAAAAAAGCCTTAGGAAGTATTAGTTTTTAATACTGTTTAACGGATGTTATGTTTTGTTTGTGTTTCATTTTTTGCTGATTATATTTGTGCAGTTTCGTTTCACTGACTGCCAGGCGCTGCCAGACAAGCCCGATGTGGCTTTGGCAGGCCTGATTCTGTACCTTTTTTCTTGTCATGTAATAAAAATATTATTATTATTATTATTATTAACCGAGACTGAAATCCGCGGCGGCGGTTTCAAGGCACAGCTCGGAGCCAATAGGTCGGCGCAGCGGCGCACATCTAGGGGCCGTCGGCGCAGCCTGCTTCTGCGGCGACTAAACCAAAAAGGCGCAATCGGAGTCCTGCTTATCTTACTTTAGATTCTCCCCCCCCCCCCCCCCCCCCCCCCCCAGATCCCCCCTCCCCCAAGACGGAGTTCTGGATCCGCCGCTGTTTCAACGGCACCGTTACTCGAATATTTGGGAAAACTATAACACTGCTTAAAGGGACCCTGAAAAATAAATTCAAAGAGTTTCGTTGGGGCACACCTGTCAAAAAAATTAATTTTACGCGAAAAAAAAAAAAGAATTTCAGAGCAATATTGACGGCGCGAGACTCGATTGAGTCGGTAGTCCCCTCTTTTCCGCTTGTTTTCTCTGTCGGCATTCCGGGCGCGTTGAGAAGAGGTGGATCGCCTTCGCCTTCACGTTGAGGGGGAAGACCGAATCACCATCTCGTTGAGCGAATGACCATTCCGTGACGTCATGGACTTGGCGAGCAGCATTTCAAATAAATCTCTCGCCGTCAATATCGCTCTTTAAAAATTTACACGCGTGTTCCAGCCAGATTGATAAAAAAAATGTTTTTTCTTTCTTTTTTTTTTAGGGGGCCCTTTAAGATCAGTCAGGGGGATTTCGGGGTCTCAGACCCCCACTGATTTCGACGGAGGGTCTGGGACCCATTTGGGGAGTAGACCCGACAGCCGTCAACTGTATCGTCAGCTACCGGGGACCTATTATTCCATTGAAAGTTTAAGGAAATTACCTATAAGTTTTCAATAAGACAACGGCGGTGTTCCAAAACTTTGGCATATGATCTGAACCGCTAGATCTATATTTGCACGGAGTTTGAGAGTTCAGAATACGAAGTTCATTAGCGATGCGTAGTATCCATGCGCGGTGACACGCTGTAGGGCACTCACCCACTCGAGAAAGATCGATAATAATAATAATCTTCATTCGCTCAGGAGAGCCGCGCCACCGTAGAAAGGCAACAGCCGGTACAGTACGTGAGTTAACCAAGAATCGAAAATTTCGAGAAGAGCGAAAGACACGCCTGGAGCATTATAATAATTTGCAGATGCTATATAACCTGAAACTATTGCGGAGGCAAATCAAAAGGCCCATGTACTGACGACCGTCAAAAGAACGATGTCTCTTACCCCAGTGATGACAATCTTCTTCCTTTTCTTTTAGAACCAGACCATGTATTCTTTATCGGATCGGGGCCGGGCAGTGAGGGAATGTGTAGATGCGGACGGAGTGCAAAGCCTCAACCTGAGGGGAGGAATGTACAAAGAAACAATCCTTTGGGTAAATAATTATATATTTAGGCTTAATTTAGACACAGGGCAGGGTTGTAAACCTAGTCAAGATGACACTTATTACCTGTTTATGTGTGTTTTTTAGGGTAATGTTTTACATCATAGGACTTAAAAAGATGTATACGAAATATTAAACAAAACTAACTTTCGTAGAAAAAAAGCTTACCAGCAATAAAAACAAACAAACAAATAGGTGACTGAATGAGTTCAGCTCGGAGCACGTGAAGCGAAAGTTCACGTGGCAGAACCCAGGTCCCCCAGGTTCCAGGGATCCTGGGTTCAATCGGCACCCCTGCTTATTTCGATCTCAATGAGCAGCGTACCAGCGTGCACTCACGTATCACTACTGCGTGATGAACGCAAAATTTCCCCGGCGTGTACTGGTGGACAACTTGTTTTGCCATTTCAGAAACGAAGCGCATGCGACATTTTAATTGGCGCTCAACGGGCTCGAGCACCTGTGCACCCATAGCTTGGACTGCATAGACAAAGAAAGTTGTGCTGAAGATTTTAGGTTATGACGAGTGTTTATGAAGATTAACGATGCACGAGCAACACG